AATATATATTTTACCAAAGCGCTGCAGTGGAAAAAGTGTTATTAACTATTGTGAGCTTAAAGCATACTAGGGGATTATATTTCTCATTCCAGATTAAATAACTAAAATATTTGTATTGTAGGGTAAAATATTAGAATTTAAAAGGTTTGGTGCACAATCAGAGGAAAATAGGTCAATGAAAAGGCTGACCAGTTTTAATGCAATACTCAATATATCCTTATACACAAGGAAGTTTAAGTTCAAACTGCAAAGAGTTGATATTTGCACAGTCCTAGCAGTTATTCAGAAGTCTTCAGCGTAGACCAGCTGGAAATTGCTTAGATGAAACCCGGGTTGTCATTTTGTTAAGAAAAGTTTAATACAATTATACAAATATACAAATGTTTAATGATTACATCTGGTATTCCAGGTTACTGATAAAATTATCAATATCAGAATCATGATGAATTGTTCTTTCTGTGCTATTGGATTACTAGGCTGAGCAACTCTTTATCTTAATAGGCATGGAAGTGTCTTTCCTCTGGTAAAGTCTGTTTTCCTCAGGTTTCTCAGTGGCTGTGTATATGCAAGCATATGAGCAAGTGAGGACACCAAGTGCAATTGTTGGAGTGTGTATAAAAGTAACCATTCATTTTCAATCACTGAAGGCCCTGGATAATCTGTGCCTACTGCCCTGCAGTGTCTTGCTCCCCTATCCAACAGCTTCTGGGAAGCAAGGTTCTGCAGTTCTGCTGGGGTGACATTTGCAGAGAACTGGAAAAGTATGTTTCTGAAAACTCATGGATATCTTGCTGTTTGCTTAAGGCATTTTCTAAATTTGGTGCTCTTTCATTGCTCAACGATGAATATTTCTGCTGTGCATTTTGAAAAGTAATTTGAAATGTCTAGGATTGGAGCAGAGTGGAATGCCAGACATTGACAGTGGTTAGGTAATTTTTGCCACAGTGCTCATCCTGCTTAGCCTCATCCATGTCAAGGCTCTGCAAAATCTGTGGGCAACAGCTGTGAGAAGAGCTTCTACATGGATGGCAACTCCTTAGTAAATGTGCAGAGTTGCACTGCAGCAGTGGGGCTATCCCAGTTTGTCGCTGGAATCGTCCTGTTCCATTCACAGCTTTCCAATACTGAAAACTCTGTTTGGAGATCTCTTTCTTCTATACATCTTTAGAAAAAGTAATTCTAGAGTGACAGCTTATATGTACATTTCCACCATCTTTCAGATCAGTATTCTATTAAAAACAAAAACAAAACAAAACAAACAAACAAACAAAGGAACTGTTTTTCCTTTTATTTCCTTTTATGGACCCTCTACCTGTGGGTATGGATTGCCATGATGAAAAGCACAATGGGAGGTGTACGTCCATTACATTATTTGAATTGAAAAGGCTATTAGATTTCAAGGAATTTTCTAATGTAATTACTGTGGGAGCAAAACAAAACAAAAAATCATTTAGTTTTCTTGCAAATCTGTAATCTGAAATGTAGTTTTTCATGATGGACTGGCACTGATACTGGAAATCTGTCAGAAGGGAATGGTAGAGGAATTGGATGACCTAGAATTAATCGCTGTTAAAGTCAGCCAGATAGATGGTGGTCAAAGTGCCAAAGTTGTTTGTGTTGTGTGCATGTGCATTGTACTTGAATTATCCTTTGGATGTGGGCTATGGTAGTTGAGATTATCAGTACAAATGCATGGCTGTAGCAGGGTGGTAAAAAGTGACCATAGTTTATGGGGAATGTATTTTAATACATCATAATTTTCACTTGGAATTAAGGTTACGTTCTTGTTTTGTGATACTATTTTGATTACACAGAAAATTGATTTTGCATGGTATATTTCTTCACTCCTAACAAAGCTATGTTCCAAGCACTACCATCTAAAATTTCAGGGAAAGTAGCACTCAGTTTTCCCATACTAATTGCAACACCACATTGAAATGCTTAGATAAAATGTAGTCTTCAGATGAGACATTTTCTGAGTATCATTACAATACCTTTAATTGTGTGTGGAATAGAAAGGAATGGTCACAGACTTTCATTTTCACATTTTCTCAGTAATGGCTAAAAATAATATATATGAGCTATAGAAGAATAAAAATAGGTTTGCCTTACAAATAAAAAGCAAACATGTGCAGGATTAATTACAGAAATAGTAAGATAGAATCACAGAATTTCTAGGTTGGAAGAGTCCTCAAGATCATCGAGTCCAACCTCTGACCTAACGCTAACATTCCCCACTAAACCATATCCCTAAGCTCTACATCTAAACGTCTTTTGAAGACTTCCAGGGATGGTGACTCCACCACCTCCCTGGGCAGCCTGTTCCAATGTAACTTTATTACCCTTTCAGTAAAGAAATTCTTCCTAACATCCAACCTAAAACTCCCCTGGTGCAACTTAAGCCCATTCCCCCTTGTTCTGTCACCAGGCACGTGGGAGAACAGACCAACCCCCACCTCGCTACAGCCTCCTTTGAGGTATCTGTAGAGAGCAATAAGGTCGCCCCTGAGCCTCCTTTTCTCCAGGCTGAACAAGCCCAGCTCCTTCAGCCGCTCCTCATAGGACTTGTTCTCCAGGCCCCTCACCAGCTTCGTCGCCCTTCTCTGGACCCGCTCAAGCACCTCGATGTCCTTCTTGTAGCGAGGGGCCCAAAACTGAACACAGTACTCGAGGTGCGGCCTCACCAGAGCCGAGTACAGGGGGACGATCACCTCCCTAGCCCTGCTGGTCACGCTGTTTCTGATACAAGCCAGGATGCTGTTGGCCTTCTTGGCCACCTGAGCACACTGCTGGCTCATATTCAGCCGACTGTCCACCATCACTCTCAGGTCCTTCTCTGCCTGGCAGCTCTCCAACCACTCATCTCCCAGCCTGTTGCTCTGCTTGGGGTTATTGCGCCCCAGGTGCAGGACCCGGCACTTGGCCTTGTTAAACTTCATGCAGTTGACCTCAGCCCATTGGTGCAGCCTATCCAGATCCTCCTGCAGAGCCTTCCTACCCTTGAGCAGATCGACACACGCACCTAGCTTGGTGTCATCTGCAAACTTACTGAGGGTGCACTCAATCCCCTCATCCAGATCATTGATGAAGATATTAAAGACGACTGGCCCCAGCACTGAGCCCTGGGGAATGTCACTAGTGACTGGCCTCCAACTGGACTTGGCTCCATTTACCACGACTCTTTGGGCCCGGCTATCCAGCCAGTTTCTAACCCAACGAAGCGTGCGCCAGTCCAAGCCAAGAGCAGCCAGTTTCTTGAGGAGAATGCTGTGGGAAACGGTGTCAAAAGCCTTGCTGAAGTCAAGGTAGACCACATCCACAGCCTTTCCCTCATCCACCCAGCGCGTCACTTTGTCATAGAAGAAGATCAGGTTTGTCAAGCAGGACCCGCCTCTCATAAACCCATGCTGACTGGGCCTGTTCGCCTGCTTGTCCTGCAAGTGCCGCATGATGACTCTCAAGAGGATCTGCTCCATGAGCTTCCCTGGTACTGAGGTCAAACTGACAGGCCTGTAGTTTCCCGGGTCAGTCCTCCGGCCCGTCTTGTAGATGGGCGTCATGTTTGCTAGCTGCCAGTCAGCTGGGACCTCCCCCGATAGCCAGGACTGCTGATAAATGATGGAAAGCGGCTTGGCCAGCTCCTCTGCCAGTTCTCTCAGTACCCTCGGGTGGATCCCATCTGGCCCCATCGACTTGCGCACATCCAAGTGCCGTACCAGGTCGCCAACCATTTCCTCATGGATACTGAGGGCCACATTCTGCTCCCCATCCCCTTCCGCCAGCTCAGGGTTCTGGGTATCCAGAAAACAACTGGTATTGCCACTAAAGACTGGGGCAAAGACGGCATTAAGCACCTCCACCTTTTCCTCATCTCTTGTAACTAAGTTTCCCCCCGCATCCAGTAAAGGATGGAGATTCTCCTTAGTCCTCCTTTTTGTGTTGATGTATTTATAAAAACATTTTTTGTTATCTTTAACGGCAGTAGCCAGATTGAGCTCCAGATGAGCTTTGGCCTTTCTAATTTTGTCCTTGCACAGCCTCGCAACATCCTTATAGTCCTCCCTAGTGGCCTGCCCTTTTTTCCAAAGATTAAAAACCCTCTTTTTTCTCCTAAGCTCAAGTCACAACTCTCTGTTCAGCCAGGCTGGTCTTCTTCCAAACCGGCTCGTCTTTGGGCACGTTGGGACAGACCGCTCCTGCGCCATTAAGATTTCCTTCTTGAAGAGCGCCCAGCCTTCCTGGACTCCTCTGCCCTTCAGAACCGCCTCCCAAGGGACTCCACCAACTAGTGTCCTGAGCAGCTCAAAGTCAGCCCTCCGGAAGTCCAATACAGCGGTTTTACTGGTCCCCTTCCTGGCCTCGCCAAGAATAGAGAACTCCACCATTTCGTGGTCGCTCTGCCCAAGACAGCTCCCGACAATCACATCCTCCACCAGTCCTTCTCTGTTTGTGAAGAGAAGGTCTAGCAGGGCACCACCCCTGGTAGGTTCACTAACCAGCTGCGTCAGGAAGCTATCTTCCACGCTCTCCAGAAACCTCCTGGACTGCTTTCTCTGAGCTGTGTTGTGCTTCCAGGATATGTCAGGGAAGTTGAAGTCCCCCATGAGAACAAGCGCCGACGATTTTGCAACGTCTGTCAGCTGCCTGTAGAACTCCTCATCCGTCTCCTCATCCTGGTTCGGCAGTCTATAACAGATCTCAACCAGGACGCTAGCCTTGTTGGCCTTCCCGCCGCTCCTAACCCAAAGGGACTCAACCTTGTCATTCCCAGCCTCTAGTTCCACAACATCGAAAGATTCTCTAATATTAGAGAGCCACACCGCCACCCCTTCTGTGCTGCCTGTCCCTTCTGAAGAGCCTATAGCCAGGCATTTCAACACTGCAGTCATGAGAGTGGTCCCACCACGTCTCCATGATGGCAACCAAGTCGTAGCCTGCCTGCCGCACGATGGCTTCCAGCTCCTCCTGTTTCTTACCCATGCTGAGTGCATTGGTGTAGATGCACTCCAGCTGGGCCATTGCCTTATCCCCCGGCCTTGCCATTGTTTCCCCGGCACAGCTCCAACAAGCCTTGAGCGAACGAACGGCTGTGTGAACGGCTGTGTGGTGCTTAGCTGCCGGCTGGGGGAAACCACGACGACAGCAATGTAGTCATGTAACGAAATTAAAGCCCAAACTTGCAGCCCGGTCCTTGTCCTGAATAGGGAGAGAGGATCCGGAGCCTGGCATTTATACGTGATAGTTTATATGCAGCCAAAGTAAATACTGCAGTGGGAGGTCATGGCGCTAGATTTTGAAAAGTCCGGCATAAAGAAGAGATCTCAGAAAAGCAAATTTAAGCAACATTAATGTCAAGTAAAGTCTTTCTGATTGCTATATTCCTTATCTGTCATGACTAGACAGATGAAAATCCAGGATGGCAGTTTTGCCTTTTGGGTCATTTTCTTTTTTTCTTTTATTTATTTCTTCTCTTTATGTTGATTTATCTGATTTTAACAGGCTCTGTACTAGTTTTCCTCACAGAATGACTAGCAGAAATATGACCCTTACACGCCTTTTGTAGTTAATTAATAAGGTCAACTCTAACCACTGAACCCCTTGACAGGCTCTTTCTGTTAGCAATAAGGAGCAATTGAACCTTAATCATCAAAACGAGCTTGTTGAGCCTATTCCACAAGGTCTCCTGACTCCACACATGTGAAGTGAAATCTGCCAGGTGGGGATCATTTGACCTTTGCTATATAGGAAGCCTGAGGAGTCATGGGAAGACTTGCCACTCCAGAGGAGTTTGAGGTTCAGGTTACTTAGGGTGCTTTTCTACTGTCGTGGAGAAATGGACTCAGTGTTCCAAGACAGACTGCTTTTTCTTCGTGTTTTCTGCCATGTCTGAGAAATTGTTTTGGAGAATCTATGAGCTATTAACGTCGGCGGTGACTACTCAGAAGAGGAAAACCCTGGTGGTGCTACTTCCCTGTGAAGTTGTATGACAGTGAGCCAAATTCAGAAGCAGGCAGGTAAGTGCTTTGGGGTTAAGAATTTGATTTGGCTTGGGCACGTCCCCGTGCCACGTCCCCGTGCCACGTCCCCGTGCCACGTCCCCGTGCCACGTCCCCGTGCCACGTCCCCGTGCCACGTCCCCGTGCCACGTCCCCGTGCCACGTCCCCGTGCCACGTCCCCGTGCCACGTCCCCGTGCCACGTCCCCGTGCCACGTCCCCGTGCCACGTCCCCGTGCCACGTCCCCGTGCCACGTCCCCGTGCCACGTCCCGTGCCACGTCCCGTGCCACGTCCCCGTGCCACGTCCCCGTGCCACGTCCCCGTGCCACGTCCCCGTGCCACGTCCCCGTGCCACGTCCCCGTGCCACGTCCCCGTGCCACGTCCCCGTGCCACGTCCCGTGCCACGTCCCCGTGCCACGTCCCCGTGCCACGTCCCCGTGCCACGTCCCCGTGCCACGTCCCCGTGCCACGTCCCCGTGCCACGTCCCCGTGCCACGTCCCCGTGCCACGTCCCCGTGCCACGTCCCCGTGCCACGTCCCCTGCCACGTCCCCGTGCCACGTCCCCGTGCCACGTCCCCTGCCACGTCCCCGTGCCACGTCCCCGTGCCACGTCCCCGTGCCACGTCCCCGTGCCACGTCCCCGTGCCACGTCCCCGTGCCACGTCCCCCCCCCCGTGCCACGTCCCCGTGCCACGTCCCCGTGCCACGTCCCCGTGCCACGTCCCCGTGCCACGTCCCCTGCCACGTCCCCGTGCCACGTCCCGTGCCACGTCCCCGTGCCACGTCCCCGTGCCACGTCCCCGTGCCACTCCCCGTGCCACGTCCCCGTGCCACGTCCCCGTGCCACGTCCCCGTGCCACGTCCCCGTGCCACGTCCCCGTGCCACGTCCCCGTGCCACGTCCCCGTGCCACGTCCCCGTGCCACGTCCCCGTGCCACGTCCCCGTGCCACGTCCCCGTGCCACGTCCCCGTGCCACGTCCCCGTGCCACGTCCCCGTGCCACGTCCCCGTGCCACGTCCCCGTGCCACGTCCCCGTGCCACTCCCGTGCCACGTCCCCCGTGCCACGTCCCCGTGCCACGTCCCCGTGCCACGTCCCCCGTGCCACGTCCCCGTGCCACGTCCCCGTGCCACGTTCCCCGTGCCACGTCCCCGTGCCACGTCCCCGTGCCACGTCCCCCCGTGCCACGTCCCCGTGCCACGTCCCCGTGCCACGTCCCCGTGCCACGTCCCCGTGCCAACGCTCCCGTGCCACGTCCCCGTGCCACGTCCCGTGCCACGTCCCGTGCCACGTCCCCGTGCCACGTCCCCGTGCCCCCACGTTCCCCGTGCCACGTCCCCGTGCACGTCCCCGTGGCCACGTCCCCGTGCCACGTCCCCGTTGCCACGTCCCCGTGCCACGTCCCCGTGCCACGTCCCCGTGCCACTTCCCCGTGCCACGTCCCCGTGCCACGTCCCCCGTGCCACGTCCCCGTGCCACGTCCCCCGTGCCACGTCCCCGTGCCACGTCCCCGTGCCACGTCCCCGTGCCACGTCCCGTGCCACGTCCCCCGTGCCACGTCCCCGTGCCACGTCCCCGTGCCACGTCCCCGTGCCACGTCCCCGTGCCACGTCCCCGTGCCACGTCCCGTGCCACGTCCCCGTGCCACGTCCCCGTGCCACGTCCCCGTGCCACGTCCCCGTGCCACGTCCCCGTGCCACGTCCCCGTGCCACGTCCCGTGCCACGTCCCCGTGCCACGTCCCCGTGCCACGTCCCCGTGCCACGTCCCCGTGCCACGTCCCCGTGCCACGTCCCCGTGCCACGTCCCCGTGCCACGTCCCCGTGCCACGTCCCCGTGCCACGTCCCCGTGCCACGTCCCCGTGCCACGTCCCGTGCCACGTCCCGTGCCACGTCCCCGTGCCACGTCCCCGTGCCACGTCCCCGTGCCACGTCCCCGTGCCACGTCCCCGTGCCACGTCCCCGTGCCACGTCCCCGTGCCACGTCCCCGTGCCACGTCCCCGTGCCACGTCCCCGTGCCACGTCCCGTGCCACGTCCCCGTGCCACGTCCCCGTGCCACGTCCCCGTGCCACGTCCCCGTGCCACGTCCCCGTGCCACGTCCCCGTGCCACGTCCCCGTGCCACGTCCCCGTGCCACGTCCCCGTGCCACGTCCCCGTGCCACGTCCCCGTGCCACGTCCCCGTGCCACGTCCCCGTGCCACGTCCCCGTGCCACGTCCCCGTGCCACGTCCCCGTGCCACGTCCCGTGCCACGTCCCCGTGCCACGTCCCCGTGCCACGTCCCCGTGCCACGTCCCCGTGCCACGTCCCCGTGCCAGTCCCCGTGCCACGTCCCCGTGCCACGTCCCCGTGCCACGTCCCCGTGCCACGTCCCCGTGCCACGTCCCCGTGCCACGTCCCCGTGCCACGTCCCCGTGCCACGTCCCCGTGCCACGTCCCCGTGCCACGTCCCCGTGCCACGTCCCCGTGCCACGTCCCCCCGTGCCACGTCCCCGTGCCACGTCCCCGTGCCACGTCCCCGTGCCACGTCCCCGTGCCACGTCCCCGTGCCACGTCCCCGTGCCACGTCCCCGTGCCACGTCCCCGTGCCACGTCCCCGTGCCACGTCCCCGTGCCACGTCCCCGTGCCACGTCCCCCGTGCCACGTCCCCGTGCCACGTCCCCGTGCCACGTCCCCGTGCCACGTCCCCGTGCCACGTCCCCGTGCCACGTCCCCGTGCCACGTCCCGTGCCAAGTCCCCGTGCCACGTCCCCGTGCCACGTCCCCGTGCCACGTCCCCGTGCCACGTCCCCGTGCCACGTCCCCGTGCCACGTCCCGTGCCACGTCCCCGTGCCACGTCCCCGTGCCACGTCCCCGTGCCACGTCCCCGTGCCACGTCCCCGTGCCACGTCCCCGTGCCACGTCCCCGTGCCACGTCCCCGTGCCACGTCCCCGTGCCACGTCCCCGTGCCACGTCCCCGTGCCACGTCCCCGTGCCACGTCCCCGTGCCACGTCCCCGTGCCACGTCCCCGTGCCACGTCCCCGTTACTTAGGGTGCTTTTCTACTGTCATGGAGAAATGGACTCAGTGTTCCAAGATAGACTGCTTTTTCTTCATGTTTTCTGCCGTCTCTGAGAAACTGTTTTGGAGACTATATGAGCTATTAACATCAGCGGGGAATACTCAGAACAGAAAACCCTGGTGGTGCTACTTCCCCGTGAAGTTCTTCGGCATTTGGTCAAATTCAGACGCTGGCAGTTGAGTGTTCCTGGGTAAAACATTTGATTTGGGATGGTGAGCTAAAGGACAGTCCTGGTCCCAATTGAATGAGTCCTGGTCCCCAGGGAGGGACAGTGGGGGTCCTGGTCCCCAGGGAGGGAGGGAGGGAAAGAGGGGTTCCTGGTCCCCAGGGAGGGAGAGGGGGAGGGGTTCCTGGTCCCCAGGGAGGGAGGGAGGGAGGGGGTTCTGGCCCCCAGGGAGGGAGGGAGGCAAAGGGGGGGTCCTGGTCCCCAGGGAAGGAGGGAGGGAGGCAAAGGGGGGGTCCTGGTCCCCAGGGAAGGAGGAAGGGAGGGAGGGGGTCCTGGGCCCCAGGGAGGGAGGGAGGAAAAGAGGGGGTCCTGGCCCCCAGGGAGGGAGGGAAGAGGGAGTCCTGGTCCCGAGGGAGGGAGGGATGGGATCGTGGTCCCCAGGGAGGGAGGAAGGTTGGGAGGGGGTCCTGGTCCCCTGGGAGGGGGGGATCGAAGGGGTCCTGGTGCCCAGGTTGGGAGGGAAGGGGTCCTGGTCCCCAGTGAGTGAGCAAGTGAGTGTGGGTGTCCTGGTCCCGTTTTTAGGGCTTGTATTCTCAGTGAAACCAAAGGCAGGGATCTTACTGATCTGGAGAAAGAGGCTTTAATCTCTCCTGCCTTGTTTACTCCTGAAGGAGTGTGAAAGAGACGCGTGTCCTTGTATGTGAAGAGGAGGTGAAGGAGCAGCTACTGCAAGGAACACACAAATCCCTTGCGCCAGACTAACAGGTGGTTGTCTCTGAGCTGGGAGACTGCATCAGAAACACAGAATTTCTAGGTTGGAAGAGACCTCCAGGATCACTGACACTAACACTAACCAGTCCCCACTAAACCATATCCCTAAGACTTCCAGGGATGGTGACTCCACCACCTCCCTGGGCAGCCTGTTCCAATGCCTAACAGCCCTTTCAGTAAAGAAGTTCTTCCTAATATCCAACCTAAACCTCCCCTGGCACAACTTTAGGCCATTTCTCCTCATCCTGTCACCTGGCAGGTGGGAGAACAGGCCAACCCCCACCTCGCTCCAGCCTCAGGCAAAGTTCCCATCCCCTCAGGCCATCCCTGTGCTCCATGCCATCCCCACCCCTCCTCGCCTCCCCTGTCCCCCTGAAGCCATCCGTGACCCGTCACACCATCCCCTAGGTCCACCCCCATCGCCTCACACCGCCCTAAACCCCTCAGCCCACCCCGGGGCAGGGCCGGGGGCGGTGCGGGGGCCTCCCCCTCAGCAGGGGCCGGCCCGGCCGCGCTCCGCCTCGCCGCGGCGAGCAGGCAGAGGAGGCGCAGGCGCTGCGGCTGCTGCAGAGGCAGGAACGGGAAGAGGAAAAAAAAATTAAAAAAAAAAAAAAAAGCAAAAAGAAAAAAAAAAAAAGGGATAAAAAGGGACGGATCCCGGCGGAGCTGCCGCGATGGCGGCGCCGCTGAGCGACGGGGAGAAGCGCAAGCAGATCAGCGTGCGGGGCATCGCGGGGCTGGGCGATGTGGCGGAGGTGCGCAAGAGCTTCAACAGGCACCTGCACTTCACCCTGGTGAAGGACCGCAACGTCGCCACCCCCCGCGACTACTTCTTCGCCCTGGCGCACACGGTGCGCGACCACCTGGTGGGGCGCTGGATCCGCACCCAGCAGCACTACTACGAGCGGGACCCCAAGGTGAGCCCCCTGCCCTGCCCCGAGCCCCTGCTGGCCCCAAATCCCTGCTTGCACCCCTGTGAGTGTGGTCCCACCGTGGGTATGGGCATGGCTTGCTGGCTGGGTGCCTGCCCCGCTGTCTCTGCAGGCTGCGTGCCCTTCAGCCCTCACCCTTATGAATTAGGGAGCCCCAGCGCTGAACCGAAAATCCCTGGGGGGCATGGTAGTGTGTGCCTGGGGAGGCGCAGCCCTGCCCTGCCCGCTGGTGGCACCCAGCCAGCTCCTTTCTCGGGGTTATGGATATCGCCCTGACACACCGAGCTGCGCCCAGCTTACGTGCTCTAGGAGCTACACCTGTGTGTGGAGCCCTCCCTGGTGCCGTGGTCCGTGTTATCACACCGCCAAGGGGCTGTGCGAGTCCCATCGAGGGTAAAGGAGGCCGAAGGGAGGTTGCTCCCCGTCCCCTGCGCTTAGATTTTGGCTAGAAGCACATCCCTGGGGGAGGCTGGAGCGAGCAGAGTGTTCATGCCGCCGTGTGATGTTTTCACTCGCTCTGTTGAGTCCCAAGGAGCGGATGAGGAGGGTAAAAGGGTCCCTTTCAAACCCCCAGAGCAGGTAATCCTGCTGCTTAGGGCTCCAAAACTGGCCTGGAAAGATCCCGGCTACCAAGGCAAGGGATTCAAAAGGAAGCGTGGTTTAAAGTCAGGCTATTGCTCTGTTAAAACGCCTGTTTACGTATGAAAATATCTGTAGTGATGGAAAAATCTGAGTAAGGGCAAAAGCGTGCGTAGCCCGCTTCCCTGCTGCGCATCCTAGGAACAGGCTTTCATTAGCATGCACCACACGGGCAGTGGTTCCTCCGAAACTCGGGAGGTCACCGCAGCCCCGTCCTTCCTGTGCTGCTGTGCCAGGAGCTCTGCCACCCCTGGGACAGTTTATTCCTTCAGCAGAGCGAAACGTGCATGTCAGCGTGGGGAGGACACGAGGAAAGGTGAACACATGTTGTTTCAGCCCCCGACAGCCTCAGGTGGCTTTGAAGCATTTTTCTAAAGCTGTCAACACCGGGAGCATCTGATTTGTCACCGTCTTGCTCAGAGATGGCCTAAAATCCAGCACGCTTATCTTCTCCCAGCTCAAAAAGCAGGAGAGGAGAGCTGGAAAATCACTGGCAGGAAGGGGGCTGGCCTGAAGCCGGGCCAAGTATGCGAGGGGCGGGGGGCTGCCTGCTTGCTGCAGCCTCTGGATCGGCTTCAGCGGAGCATGAGAAAACTTTTAAGAGCCCGGCGCAGGCATCACCTCGGCCGAGCTTGGCTGCACGTAAAGATACGATTCAGCATCCTAGATAATTCCTGCCTGCAGTTAATTAGGGAAACACTCTTAACAGGCAACGGGATTTTTCTATAGAAGGCTGTTGGCAGGGAGATGTGCAGCGGGGAGTTGGCTAGCATCCCGTGCAAGGCTCCTTCTGACAAACAAACTGTGGTGCATGTTGTTCAGGAGCGGGCGCCAAGAGCCGCTTTGGGAGGCTGTCCCCTGCTCTGGAAAACAGTTGGGGCTGATCTTAATTTTAAGCGACTTCGGTGCAATCCTTTGGGCGCAGCACGTGATGAGCCGGGAGTGAAATGTGCTGTGTCTTGCTTTGCCTCCCCAGCGTATTTATTACCTGTCCCTGGAGTTCTACATGGGCCGCACCCTGCAGAACACGATGGTGAACCTGGGCTTGCAGAACGCCTGCGATGAAGCCATTTACCAGGTGAAGTCCTGGGGCACGGGGGTCCACCCTGAAGAACTGGCCAGACTTTTCCATGTGGAGGGCTGGGTACCTGTATTTCTCAAGGCCTCCTCCCGAGGATGTTTCGTTTTGCCAAATTAAGGTTTTATCTCTCTGTTCGTGTCCTGCCACCCCCAGAGAAGGCAGTGGTGGCACCTCGGGGTGCCTCGAGAGCTGGGCTACAGATCCCTCAGACCACTCCTTTCTTGTAGTGGCTGGGCTCTGCATCCAGAAAGCAGCTCCAAGAGTCCCCAGAGACTGGGGAATCCCAAGGGGCAAATGATTTCCCACCAGTAGGAGAGGTGGTGGCTCATCACGGGTCATGTAGCCTGCCGAGGGAGGCTGGGCCAAAAAGGCAAGCGCAAAACCACCAAACCACAGATCATACTTGCATGCACGTACATAGAAAGCCCTACAGCAGCGCTGACAGACGACAGTAAATCGCCAGGAAGGGGGGGTGGGGAAATGGCTTGATTTTTATAATGTCACTGGATGAGTTTGAACTGGAAAAAACACAGCCACTGCTGAGTACCACCGAGTCGATCACAGATGCCAGGCCGTGTTTACTTAGGCTCGCTGCCATCTGCAGCAGGACAGTGACCTTTTTGACAGCATAGGAGTTTGGGGGCTTCCTCACCTAAAAACTTTATTTCCCTACCCCTCAGACTGACCCACGTTACAATTTCTAGCAGGAGTTGGGCTCTGTCGCTCACTGTCCCTCCAAACGAGGTGCTAAGCTTGCTGACCAAACGCCCTGGCCATGGCCAGCACGTTCCCTGCCAAGGGATGGGAAGGGCTTTCCAGAGAATTTCTGTCCGAGCCATCACGCCTCGGAGCACAGGCTGGTTTTATTCAGGCAGGATCCTCGAGTCCCTTTGCGAAGCCTCATATCCAGAGTGGCTTTGTCACGGAGAGAGCCTGCCTTGGTATTAGTGCCCCCTGTCATGCCACAGAGAGAGCTGAAGCTCTGAGAGAGCAGTCTGGGGAGGAGCTGTAGCGTCTCCCTGTCTCCAAGCGTCCTTGCTGCTGGCAGGCTTCTCCTTGAACCGGGCACAACCCCCGGAGAGGCTGCCAGCCCTTGGATTAGAGGAGAAAAAAAAAAAACAAGGGCTGCAGAAGACGAGACAGCCACTTCCACCCGTGGGTCCCGGCCAGGCAGCTTGGCAGCGGGGTGCTCAGGATGTGGGAGGGAACGGCGGAAACCGCGGCCACAGGCTGCAGAAGTGGCTGTGACCTTCCTCCAGGCACCGGGCCTCCTCCTCCTCCTCCTCGGTGGGAGGGCCTTGGGGCTGGAGGGGCTGCCAGGAGGCGAGTGTTTGGTTGGGTGTCTCTAAGGAAACCTGCTTCGTGGGAAAGCGGTGTCGGGGGAGGGATTGTTCTCCACTCCTCAGGCTGCCCCTGAGGGCCAGAAACCCGTGAGGTGTTTTTGGGGGTGAGGGAAGGGCTGCGGGGAGAGCCCTGTGTGGTTTGTGTGAGGTGCAGCCGGGTGGGTGTGGGATTTGTGTGTGCTCTCCTCCTCAGAGGACGGGGATGTGGGTGCTGACGTGTGGCTGTTTCCCCAACAGCTGGGTCTGGACTTGGAGGAGCTGGAGGAAATCGAAGAGGATGCCGGGCTGGGGAACGGAGGCCTGGGCCGCCTGGCAGGTAACACGGGGAGAGGGGAGCCCCGTCCTCGCTCCGAGGGCGTGGAGTTTGCCTTCCTTGGGAGCACATCACACCTTCATCTCAGCCTCCTGAGGGCTCTCTGATCTGCCTCACCTGCACCTGGGGCTGCCTGCCACAGCAGGACCTCAACCACACACAGCCAGCATCCAGGAGATGCCTTGGTGCCTGACAGGAGCACAGCGAGCTGGGCTGTGGCTGTGAGAGGCCGCCCGAAGCCTTTCTCCTCACCTCCCTGTAAAAGCTTCTGTTGTTTTTTGTTGGTGTTTTTTTTTTTTTTCTTTTTTTCCTGAGGCGCACAAGCAGCCCTCACGTAGGCGAATTGTTGGCTGCTATTTTGATCTGCCCCTCACAAAAGGACTGCTGGAGACAAGAGCCGCCTGACAGAGGAGGTGCCAGGGCTGAGCTTTACCAGAGCCGCCCTGGACTGATGGTCAGAAAGCTTTGCTTTGACAGAGCTCGTAGTAAAGCAGCTGGTGAGTCAGGATCAGAAGCCCTGCTTTACGTGGCAGGCATCGAGCCAGGCATGGGTTTCTCAGGCAGGTTCAGAAGAGCTCTCGCTGCAGCAACGCCGCGTTTAGGTGCGTTTCTGTCACACCTGGCTTGAGCTGCTGCTGCCCCTGATGGCCACTGGTCTCTGCTGTATCCACATTTGAAGGTTGCTGCACCTGCACCTTCATCACACAAGGCTGCAGGCGCTCCTGGTGTCAGCACCATTGCTCCCCAATCTCCCCTGGCACTGACCTGAT